AAGGTCACACTCCCTAGGTTCTCATGAAACATTTCAAGTGCCATTTTATCACTCTGTGACTGCAGGAGACTTATAGATACCTACAGGAAGAAAACAGAAATTTTAGGCTACAGGAAGAAGAGTGAAAACCAGAAAAACAGGAAGACTATGGAGAAGGTCAACAAGAGGTGTTTTAGTTGTGCAGCAGAATTTAACTTGAACAAACAATAATTTCCCCAATTCTGTTTCAAAGAGGTAGAAGCATTTTCAATACTACCTTACTGTTGTAGACAACTGSAAGAACAAAAAGTCTCCAAGATAAATGTCAAATTGGGATGAAACAATATCATGTAAACAACATCATGTTCACACCCCTCAGTAGAGGTAATTGTGACTTTTGGACCTGCTGTTTCAARTATCTATCATTTCACCACACCTTGGGCAGAACATCCCTGAACCTGCAGTGACAGTACACGGCTGTCTAACAAACTGGCCAATAGTGAACTCTGGATACAGTTCGCTCCTTGCAAATTAAACACAGCAAAAAGTGAAGAAAGATAAATGCTTCCATTAAAATTTAAAATGAAAATAAAATTTAAAAGAKGAGTTAATAGATTTCTGTGTATTGATTATCTACCACTTGTTGAAAGCCAGCCCAATACTGGTGTCCCAAAGCCTTTTCTGCAGGAACTGGGATTTCTTAATATTCTACTACTRGGAACATCACCACCCATTCTACACAATTTTTTACCTACATATTTTCTTACTGGCATTTTCTAAGCATGTAAGGAAGAGTGAGAATCAAAATACCACAGCAGTAAAGCACCTGCTGTAAATCACCTGAGAGAAACAAAACACCACAAACCAGCCGGGAACCTTTTAGACCATATAATCTACTGAAACTAAAACCATTCCTGACACATGTGACCTAATCCACCTTCCAAAGCCTTCTGCAAACGAGATTCCCAGATAATAATTTTCAGTGCCAAACTACATTTGTTTGAAATAATTTCCTAATGCCTACTTCAAATCTCCTACTCCAAGTCCATCACCTCTTGCCCRAAACCCACTGAACATAAAGAAAAACTTATTCCTTCTCTCTGCAGAGAAAAATTTTACATTTTGAAAGATCATTACCTTTTTTCCCGACACCCTCCTTTTCTTCAGACTAAACAAGCCCAATTCTTTCAATCTTTCCCCTTAGATCATGTTTTAYAGGTCTCTGATCATTCTTGAAGTTGAGACTGTGGCAACATGTGGTACAAGGAGAAAAAGGAAAATTGACTCCTACAAAAAATTCACCAGGAAGCTGGGTGACAGAGGGTTTGTTTGAAGAGGTTACTTTTGTATGATGACTATCTGCTTTGTTGCTTGGGTGTTTTAGTGCCAAAATAGATGTTCTTTTTGTTCTCTGTGGCACACAGTGTAGGTGCCCCAGTGCATGGAATAGGTAGGCATTACACTCCTTCCTGAAAAAACAGTTTGGAYCTGGGGAAAACCCTTGTAACAGCAGACAAGTTATTTTTGCCAGTAATGGAACACTTCTCCCTACCAAGACGGTATCTTTGGGATAAATTGATATAAGCRGCTATTTGTGATACCAGGATAATGCAGGCAGAAGTTTAAGTAATTTTTAGAAACATGAGTAAAATCCTGCATCACAAAGTACATTTCAGGGAAATATATTAGTTCCATAATTGCTTTCTARTGCTGCATTCACTCTGTCTCAGAAAACAATATGCAGTTGTAATATACACTGAGAAACGTCTAYGGTTCAGCTAAAATCAACAAAACTAAAAATAATCATGTGCATTTTAGAAGATGCCATGTTCTTTATAACCAGATAAATTAATTCCACCATTCCCATAATCAGATTCACATATATAATAGAAGAATGTAATTTACTTCCATTCTCCAAAGGTATACAAAGTCTTTTTTTTTTTCCTTCCAGAAAAAGGTTTTAAAATTGCATTGTGTTCTATTCACCAACATTAGCCGAGCAAACAGAGTTATCTCTGAAACCCTGGGTACCATGGCATGGAAAGATTGCACTCAGAAGCTAACTGGGCTTCTGTGTTCGAATTGGGAAAACAATCTTATCCAGAAGAAAGATAAGACATAATGTGAGATGATAAGTGCTGGGAAAATAAGCTTGATGGAAGAAAAGGAAGTGAAAAACTTTTCCATGCTGAGGACAGAAAAGGTCTTTCAAAAACTTTTGTTGAGCATGACATATTAAACATATCCAAAATGTTGTCCAACAATAACATGAGCATRGATCATGTAAAATGGTGTTATCAAAGGGTCTTTAATCTAAAAATTAGRTAATTTATGATGTCAATTTTGCAGAGAAACTCTTAACGAGAAAGACTTTTTATGTCCTCAGTGCATTTTAGATTTTCAACTCAAAAGGAAACAGATTTTTCAGTAAGATAGTTCTTCATCTCTGGCTACCTCATGYGAGTCTTAAGAACAGGGCAGTATGTACCTTGCCTCCCCTCATATCAAAAACTTATAAAATAAAACATAAACCTTGTCTGCATAGCTTAAAAACAKTTTTATTGAATTTCTGTTCTGTTTCAAAAGATAGATTTCACTWGGAAAATGCAAGCTTCCAAAAGGTGGTTAGGACAGATCTGTGCATGACATTGTATCAAGATGTACCAGAACCTGAATCCTCTATGCTGGCAAATTTCACACCATCCCCATTTCTGTTCTGACAACAGATTACRGCCAACTGTTTCAATGTCTACAGGTGAGAAAAAGTTTCATTGGCTGAGGTTGCCAGTTCTGTATTGATATTGGTTTGACACAGTTTTTGTATTTGTATTCATCTTTTCTATCTGTAGTTTCTAAGCAGCCCTAAACCACTACATGAACTTTCTTCCTCTATAGCAGCATTTGAAGGCTCCATTCTGGTAATTATTGTTCCCCAAACTAAGTAGAGGAAGTAAAAACCAGACAAAACTGAAGTAAAATCAGTTAAACAGCCCAATGGTTCCGCTAGAACACAGAAACCATACTCATAAATCACATCCTCTGAGGACCCATCCATCTGCTTCCTCGTCCACCAACCTGCAAAAAGGGTGGTAGCAAAAGCAGTAGGCTCACAGCTACACCTCAGCATACACAGGGATATTAAAAGACATTTGTGAACATAAGAATTTTTCCATCTCCTGGACTGTGGTACAACTTTTGAGCTGGTGGTGCAAAGCCATTATTAATGGTCTACCTGACACAACAGGAGGGAATGGCCTGGAAAACCAGTGCCTTCAACCATCTCCACTCCAAAGAAYCCAGGCATGACTGGTTTCTCTGGAGGCTTTTCCTCCATCAGAGCTCTCAYAGGGGCAGTCTGTCATATTGCAAAGCCAAATGTGAACTGCTGYTGCCTCTTTGGTCTCTGTGAGTCCACCATGAAAAGCAGATCTCTTCTGGCACTTGGTGAGTCTGCATTTCTTAAAAGGTGCCCAGATTTGGAGCATCCTGTACCTGCTAACAAGAAAGTTTAACTGGGCTTGGCAGCAATACCTTCTGGAGACCTGCCTCAAGATAAACAAAGGCAACATCTGTATTGTGGGACCCAGAGGAGATCCCATGTATGTCCTGACTGTGTATCAGGATGAGACCAGGGATCCATGTTTGCACTCTGGTTTCCAAAGAAAGGCTAAGGATGTGGCCAGGGATCCATATTTGCACTCTGGTTTCCAAAGGAAGGCTAAGGATGAGACCAAGGATCCATGTTTGCACTCTGGTTTCCAAAGGAAGGCTACCTCACCAGCAGGGACGCACCACGTGTTTCCATCAGACCTCCTCACTGTACAGGATCACAACTCCAACGCACAGTGTGACCTGTAGTCTTCACTGAACTTCACCAGTGACACTGCCCAAGCCTCAGAAACAAAAAAAACAAGAAAACAAAACAAGAAACAACAGCTGAATAAATAAATAAGTCTTTCTAGTTGCCCGTAATCTTGTTCCCAATGTTGCCACTGCACAACTGAAAATACYCGTGACAGCACTGGCGTTTCATCACCAGATTCTCACAGCAGACAGCTCTGACATTGCCTTAACCTTCATATCCTGACTGGGTGAGGCAGTGGCTCGCTGGATCCCCTCCAACAATTGCTTGCCTAATTCTACTAAACCAAGCCAACAGACTCATAGGATAAACACCCAAATGAGCAAGCCACGTACAACAGTCATTATTGACAATGCACCATTGCAAAGCCTCTCCATCTTGAAAACACTCACAATTCCTGCCCCTTTTTCATTTTCCTTGAAAAGCCTGAAACTGTGGTAGAACACCGTAAATGGCAGCAGCCACAGGCTTCACACTGGGGTTATTTAATTTACCCATTGATAAGCAGCAAAACAAACCTCCCTAAGCACTAATAAAATGAAATATCCAAGAATGATCTCATAYGGATAATCAGCAAAAAGCCTGATCCCAGACTGAAGTCCACCAGCAAAGRCTRTGGAGCCAAATATGTCATTGTGAACACAGGTTTGTAACTCTGACCCAAATGAGAGCTCTGGTGCAAAGCAGGCCTGAGCTGTATCAGCAGAGAACTTGSTGATAAGCAGCAGCCACGCTGTACTGCTCTACAGGCTGGACTTTCTATCTGTTCTCATCTGCACCAACTTTGCTTCACTTTAAAAACTGGATTTTAAAATATTTTCCATGGSGTGAATGTGAAAGCCAAGGAGGGATTTTAAGGAACCATCACAGATGACCAAGCTGGGAAGAACACTAATAGGGCCACCCTGTGCTGGCACACCAGTACAGTGACACAGGGGCACTCCCTCTCCTGAAATTTGCATTTATCAATACTCACCCATACTTATATCCAAATATGAATATATTTTTATGAAAAAAAAATGAGCTAAATATGTGGTTTTCAAGACTATCTGATTATCACGTGAAAAAAAAAAAACCCTTTAGAAAAAAAAAAACCCTTTAGAAAAAAACCCTTTAAAAAAGCCAAGTGCCTGTTGCTGGTTTTGCCCCACACTGGGGTTCAGTGCCCTGTCCCTACACTGACCGTGCCCCCCGGGTCACGCCAGCGGCCAGCACAGGGAACCCCCTTCCCTGCCTGGGGACCCGCCCGCGGGGGAACCCTCGGGAAGGTCCCTGGGCCTCGCCCAAACCCCCCCAAGCCGAGGTGGGTCGGGGGGTCCGGGGGATCCCCGCTGCTGCCGCCCCGTCCCGKCCCGTCCCGCCCCACCGGGCCCGAGCGGCCGCTGGCTCCGCCATGCCCGGAACACAAACAAACACCGCGCTCAGGGGCGGAGCGAAGCGGCTCCCACCATTTTGGGGCCGGGGGAGSCCAGCAGGCGGCCGGGTCCCCCCAGTCCGTCCTGTCCCGTCCCGCCTCGTCCCGCCGGGGGCGGGCAGGGCTGTCCCCGCGGCGGGGCCGGGGGCGCGGAGCCGAGCAAGGCCCCACGGCTGCTCCCCGGGCCCGGCGGGGAGGGGTGAGAGGAGGAGCCAGGGCGGCCCGTGCGACAAAGCTCAGTGCGCAGGGAGCTGGTGACCGGGAAGCAGAACCGCGCCGGGCAGCCGCGGGGCGGGCGGACCCACCGGAGCCCGCTGCCCCACGGGGGGTGGGAGGCCCGTCCTGCCGCCCCCCCGGCTCGGGGGTCGGGGCGGCTGCGGAGCGGAGAGGAGCGGGAGGCGGCCGGGCTGCTGCTGCTGCTAAGCCGCTTAGGGCCGGGGCTGGCATGAGCCTCCCCGGCGGGGCGGCTGCGGGCTGCGCGCTGCGGCGGGGAGGCTGAGGGCGCGGATCCGCCGCCGGAGCGGGAGGAGGCGGAGGGGGGGCCGCGCTCCCCCCGGGAAGATGGGGAACTGCCTCAAGTCCCCCACCTCGGATGACATCTCGCTGCTGCACGAGTCCCAGTCGGACAGAGCCAGCTACGGAGACGGGGCTGAGCCGGATCAGGAGCCGCCGCCGCCATATCAGGTAGGGAAGGGGGCGGGAGCGGGGCCGGGGGCCGCGGGGCTCCTCCGGGGCGGGGGGAGCGGGGCTGCTCGCCCGGGGGCCGCCGCCGCCTCCCCGCCGCCGCCGCTCCGGCGCTRGGCGGCCCGAACCTCTCCCTTTCCGCCCGCACGTAGCGCGGGGGAAGCCGCTTTGTCTGGGCCGGTGCCGGCGCTCCGGGCGGGCGGTCGGCGCGGTGCCGCCGGCGGGGCGGGGGGCGGAGGGCAGGGGCCGCCCGGCCGGTGCCGCGTCCTTTGTTGCCGCCGGCGGTGACATCACCGTCTGGCGCGGGGACGCTCCGGGACGGGGACCGCGGGCCCTGCCCGGGCTTTGTCCGGGCCCGCTCGCACCGCTCCCGTATTTTTAGCAGCATCTGATCCCCACTAAGTAACTCCCCCAGCGCAGGGGATCCTGTTTCCCTCCGTCCTGTGGGGCACCGGCGGGGAAGTGTTTCCCATTGTTCGGTGGGGTTTCTTTTTTTAATGTGTCTGTGGGAATCTGTTAATTTACATCTTGATGACGAATCAGGGGGAAAGAAGGGAAAGGCCGGGTATTTGCTTTGATGGCTTTGCTGACAGCAGAGGATAACGCCGATGTGGAGGGGGAGATGGCGTTGATGTGAAAGGCTGTGCTTGGCCGCCTCTGGAAGGGATGGACACGGAAAGGGGACCTGAACTTGGGGTTGCACTTGTCTGCTCCCTGTGATCTTTTCCCCCACCTACAGAAATGTGTATTGACCTAAACAAGCCTTCTACAGCACTGAAAAACAAAAAGGAAAACCATCCAGCGGTGGAACTGCACATTCTGTTCGAGTTTTGAAAGTATTTTCCTATCTGGGATAATAGCATACATTCCAGAGGGATCTACAGAAACGGCAGTCGAAACACACATTCTGGGGGGGTGACTTGAGAGGTGTGTGTGTTCTAGGATGGGAGTCATTCCGTAATTGCAGACCCTGATGTGTAATTAACAAAATTGCAGGAAGTATTTAACCGGACAGGCGTGTAATCTACAAATGCTTKAACAAGTTCAAGAATTCCACCCCGATAGGAGCCCCATAAGTGTTGAAGAGAGGCCCTACACGTAGCAGCCCTTGCTGGTGCCCTGAAGCTGCTCTGGTGTTTCTTGGCAGTGAGTGCSTGATTGTTTTGTTTGGGTGCGAAAGCTGAATGTTACAATAAATTCTGGGATGTGAGGAATTTATTTTCTGATTTCTGAGCTATGTCTGCTGAAGTCCAGTAAACAGAAAGTGCTTGGTGGCAGATCAAGTTTTTCAAAGCTTGTGTTGTTCTAAATTAAGCCTGAATTGTCTGTGAGGCTTAGGAATGCATTGTATTTTTGTCACATCAGCATAAAAGTTTGATTGTGCAGTATCTGTTATTCTAGGAAGACTTTTGGAAGGATTTTTTTTGTTCTTACCCTTTGAAAACAACCTGTTAGCTCTTGTAAGAGTCACCAATCAAGTATATATTTTATGCAGGCCTTGTGTGGATGTCATTGTAGGTAAARCACCTCCTCTCATCAGAGGTTTTTAAATTTTTTTTTTTTATGAAGAAGTTATCTTTGAGTGCGGGTGGTTGAGAACACGACAGACGGTAAAATAAATGAACCCACAGGTGTTTATTATTGAGTAAGTTTATTCATAGCAAACCTTCCCTCATCTGAAGAGAGCTGTGCAGCATCAGGTGATGTGCCCACAGGCACTTGGCCGTGTCAAACATCACTGTCTGTCCTGAAAGCTCCTCTGCTGATCCTGGCAGTTCCTAAAGCTTCAGCTTAGGGTAGCCTTAAGTGTCTCATAGTTAAAATCAAAGCTACTCTTTYTTTTGAACCACAGTGGTTTGTGACTTTAAAAAAAAATAGGCCTTACCTACAATATTATGCAGCATTTCATGCACTTTGAGGTTGAGGGGATTTATAATTTTAATTTGGTAAATGTTTACAAGAAACACAAGTATGTATGAACAATTGCTGATGCTCCAGTATTACTTTTGTGCTAGCAATAGGTCACTCATTTTAACTTTCAAGTGGAAGCTTAGCTTCAGTGTCACAAATGGGAATTTAAGAATTGTGCCCTTGTTCCTGATAATTACTTCTTTTGGTGTCTTAACCAGAGTTAGTGTATAATGTGTAGGCATTGGGAATAAAATCAAGGAAGAGGATAAAATGAGTTTGAAGACTTGTTTGTTGCAACTAGCCTCAAGAAACTGGAAGTTGAACAGTTTGAATGCCAGTTGCTGAAATTTCAGCTGCAAAATGGACATGTTTTAGAAGAGATTAAAATCAGATATATCTGTTGTTCTGGGGTTTGCAGCATAATGTGTCAACTTCCTGAACAGCTCTTGCAAGGTATGCAAACTAGGGGAAGGAAGCTTGTTGGGTGAAGATGTGCAGTTGTAGAAGATGACTTCTTTATTTTTTTGACATTTAAAATACTTTCTCGTGATCTGACAGGGTTGTGCTGTGGGCATTCACGTGGGAATCTTCTTATGCAAAAGTTTTTATTTACCTATTGATTTCCAACTGCAAAATGTACCCCCAATAATAATTTCAGTATAGCATGTCAAATTTCTTTGATCAGTGAGTGCTATTAAACTAACTGTGTAAAATTCCTACTTCCAGAAGCRGGGTTGAGAATTGGATTGACAGTATGGGCACATGGAATAACAGKGAACAACTTCCATTGAGAGGCTCTGCAAATACCTGTCTCTTGGTTTCTGTGGCAGTGCATGTTACCAGCTGCTGCAGAAAGGCCTCAGAGAGGAAGCATCTTTTTAAAGTTATCTGAGTAAATGAGAAAGTGGCCCATTAAAGCATCAGACATTTTCCTGTGCATTGAGCTTAACGGCTAACGTGGGAAATWATGAAAACACACCAAAAAAAGAGTGTGTTTTCATGGTGGGGAGGAAGGAAGTGATTTCAAGAGTGGACCAACATTTTCATAGACAGATGCTAATTTTGAATGCCTCCATTTTAGAACCCAGAAATTACAACTGCTTTTCTAAGTGTTAAGAACATGCAGCTCCATTTTTAACCAGGGAATCTGTGATTAGGAAAGAGTTAGCTTTGGTTTTGTTTTTTTTTTTCTCAAGTCCTCAAAATTGAGTATGCTTTCAAGTTTGTTTTCCTTTTTGGTGTATGACTTCTTCACCATCTGTTGGCAATATGCCTTCTGCTGTTTTTCCATAGAAGTTCACTGGGTTTTTTTTCAGTTTCTCTCACTTCTAGTAGTTCTTCTCAAAGACTTTATTTTACAGAACAGATGTATCCCTTTTCTTAATCCTTGTCTCRTATTTCTGTTCTTAAATAGTTCCTTAATAGCTGTAGGAAATAATTTGCCATTTTATTTAATTTTGGAATTTTTGCACAGTGAAATACAGAATGCTTTACACCTTTTCTCCCTAAGTTTTGAAAAGGTGTTACTATGGACAAAATACACTGCAGTCTTCTAATAAAGAAGTACAGCATTTGCATGGTGTTGATACTAAACTAATAAAAGCACRTTTAATATGTTGATGTGGTAGATAGACTGAAAAATGTTTTACCAGCTTACCTAAAGAGCTCCAGACCTGGTACTTGTCTGGTACTTCATACCACCTTGKGTTGTCTTACAGGCCTAGATAAAATGTTTCAGTGGATCTAGTGGATTTTTTTCTTYTTTTTTTATTTGGAGGGATTAATTTAAAACCTTTTGGCCTGGACACTCATTTGATTTYGCTGTAGGCACAAAATGAGACGAGAGATCACAAACATGAGCTTAACCCAATGCTGTGCTCCCATAATCCTCCAAAAGCTGTTGGGGACAGCAGGTTTTGAAAGTGTAATTTAGGATGTCTCATGGCTTGTGTTAAAACTCAGGTTGCTGCAATAGCCTCCTCTGTTAACTGAGTGTCACCTGTACACTCTCTACACATCCTCATCCCTCTGTCTTGTCGTGCTTCATTCCAGCCGTCCCCAGCTCAGGGAGGTGGCACAGCAGCCTGTCCTGACAGGATCCCCTSAGCCTGAGCACAGCACAGTAGGTGCAGCCTTGGAGGTGCTGAAGGAGTGCCCAGTTTGGGCAGTCAGAGAATCTTCTTGAGATAGTCCCCTCCATTTCTGTGTAAAACTTGCCCATGGATGAGAGTATTGGATGTCTTATGCTCAACAGCGAAACAAAGCCTTTGTTACACTCCYCTCTAACTTGAGTAATGTGTTACACCAGTGTTCTGATGCCATCTTTTCAAAGGTATGGTAATGAATATAATTAAAAATTGCTAGCCAAATTAATTCTGATCTAGGAGTCGCACCCCTTTCTAGAAACAGCTGACCAAAAATTCTCTTGGGCACCAATTGAAATGATTTATCATCTGTGATTGCATCTATTGAACAAGAGGACTGCAGCAGTGTAACAAGTTATAATCCACAGTGGAGTRGTTGTGCAAAGCTGGAACTCTTGGTCTGTGTTGGAGCAGCATGAAAGGGGGAAAGGTGCAGTGGGAAAACATTACATACAGAAAGCTCTCCATGCAAAAAGCAAACCAACTAGTAGGGTTACTTTTCATGTTCGAGAAAGCAGTATGTTTAGAAGTTGCTTATGCATGTCTTGCCTCATTTTTGCTTGTCCTCCACATCTTGGTGATGATGTGTATGAATTACAGTTGCACTTGTGGATGTGAACTGAAAAACCATTCCAATCTACAATTCCTTAGTCTGGTGGAAACATCAAAGGGCTTCAAACCCTTTGTCTTTTTTGCTGTATTGCTGGCTGGTGCCTTCTGGCAGCAGTGCCCAAGGTGAAGRTCAGCTGCAGTGAGGAGAGAAAGTGATGGAGGAGCTGAAGTTGAGAGTTTGCTGCATGGATGAGAAATGGTAGAGTTGCTAGTGATGTTTTGTGCTTCTCTTCAAGRATATGATTGCTTGAGTGACCTTATGTGACTCATTCTCACGAATGAAGAAGTGTTTTAGTAGTRTTCAGGAATAACATTTCTACCTGTGAAAGACCC